CGTCCGCTGGGGAAAAGCCTCCCAAAGGAAACGGTGGTGAGCAGGTCCCCCCGCTCCTGCCTCCCCCGCCGCCTGGCAGCCTTCCTCCCTATCCCCCCTACTTCGAGGGAGCTCCCTTTCCTCACCCGCTATGGCTACGGCACACGTACAACCAGTGGGTTCCTCAGCCACCGCCACGGACTATAAAGAGGACGAGGAGGCGTTTGTCGCGGAACAGAGACCCGGGAAGGCTTATCATGAGCACCATCCGGCTGCGGCCAAGGCAGGTGCTCTGCGAGAAGTGTAAGAACACTCTGAACCCCGAGGACGCGAACACGGCTAGGCAGAACGCTAAAACCAGGAGGAAGCTGAGCATTCAGGACAAAGAGCAGAAAAAGCACAGTGACTCCGACTACGCGGAGAAAAGGAACAAAAGAGAAAAGAGAGAGGAGGACAAATTTTCTGGGGAACTGGTCCATCGAACGCCAGTTATAAAAATATCCTACAGCACTCCCCAAGGGAAAGGCGAAGTGGTAAAAATCCCTTCCCGGGTTCATGGCTCAGTCAAACCCTTTTGTCCAGACCGAATATTGCAGAACGGAGGGGAGGACCAAGAGGAGACCAGAGACCCTGAACGGTGTCGAGAAACCAAATGTTTAATGGACAAGTCAGCAGGCAGCCAGCTTGCTTCCATTCCAAAACTGAAGCTCACGCGGCCGGTGCATTCCAGTGCGGATGTCCCACCCCCAAAGATACGGCTGAAGCCCCATCGCATAAATGATGGTCAGAGTGTTTCAATTTATAAGGCAGAACTTATTGACGAAATAAATGTCCTTCAGAGCAGCAGGGACTCCAATCCTGCCGCCTTTTACAATGATGAATCCGCAGACAGAAGTTTAGCTGAGATCTCTTCAGGGAGTTCAGGTGAAGATGAGGACTTTAAGCGATTTCCCCAAGGTAAAGAGGGACACGATAACTTGGCTTTCCTTATGAATTACCGTAAACGAAAAGCAGATTCTTCCAGCTTATCGGTGTGTAGTAATGACAGTCTAGATGAATCCAAGTCTTCTAGTTCAGAAGTAACATCACCAGAACTGTGTGACTTTTTGCCTGGTGATGACGCATCCGTCTCTTCATCTTCAAAAGATGAGCGTAAGATTGTGCCGCCGCTAACCGTTAGACTGCATACCCAAAGTGTGTCCAAATGCGTCACAGAAGATGGAAGAACTGTTGCAGTGGGGGATATTGTTTGGGGTAAAATTCATGGTTTTCCGTGGTGGCCAGCACGTGTTCTTGACATAAACCTTAGCCAGAAGGAAAACGGGGAACCTTCATGGCGAGAAGCTAAAGTATCGTGGTTTGGTTCTCCAACGACTTCATTCTTATCTGTTTCAAAACTCTCTCCTTTCTCTGAATTTTTCAAACTGAGATTTAATCGCAAGAAGAAAGGGATGTATCGGAAAGCTATCACGGAAGCTGCAAAGGCAGTAGAGCATCTGACTCCAGAAATAAGAGATCTCTTAACACAGTTTGAGACATAACTTTGCCTCCAGCATCAGGTGAGTGCTTGCTGGGCTAATGCTTCCCGTGAAACACCTCCTTGTGTTTTGTAACCTATGTTCTGCTGTTTGTGTGCATTTGTTTTCCCTTAAAAACTGAGGCGGACAATCCTTGAATGGCTGGCTGATAGTTGGTGGTGGCAGTTTCAGAGGTGGCCTTTAGTTCCAAAAC